GGCTGTCCAAAATCCGGGCCCGGAGCCCGGCCCGGGCCCGGGCCCGGCCCGGAGCGGAACAGGGCCGGCCCGGAGCGGAACAGGGCCGACGCCGGGTCACATTCCGGACCGGGCAGCCCGAGACAAGTATCTTAAGATTTTTGGACTATCGATATCTAGGGCTGTCCAAAATCCGGGCCCGGAGCCCGGCCCGGGCCCGGGCCCGGCCCGGAGCGGAACAGGGCCGGCCCGGAGCGGAACAGGGCCGACGCCGGGTCACATTCCGGACCGGGCAGCCCGTGATCGTTTTGCCCCCAAAAACGGTCAAAAAACGGCTATTTTGTGAGGTTATTTTGGTCATTTGCCTAGGGGGCTGGTTCTATAAATAGAGGGGGCTTTTTTTTTGTTTTCTTCACACCAAAAACTCATCTCTTCTCTCTTATACTCTTATCCTCTCTCTTATACTCTTATACTCTCTTATTTATACTTTCTAATTCTTTCATCAAATGGCTTCCGGATCTGATTATGAAGAGCAAAACATATCTCCTGATCCTGAAATGAGTCCTCCTACTATGAGTCCTCCTACTGGGTCTACTCCTACCAAAGTTAATCTCGAATCCAGTGGCGACGAATCTGCACCAAGAGCTCCTAAACGGCCAAGATCCGATGTGTGGAATTTTTACGAGAAGATCGACGTCACCAAGGATGAACACGGTAGGATCCTCACCCAGAAGGCTAAGTGTGCTTTGTGCGGCAAGATTTTTCAAGCTCATCATAAGAGCGGCACCAACCACCTCAAACGCCATTTAGATAAACACAACAAAGGCCAGACTCCTCAAGGTGATATCCGACAATCTATGATTTCTCAATCCTCCTCTTCTGGTAGTCTCGGTAGTTGGAACTATGACGCTGCCAGAGCCAGGAAATGCGTAATCAGGTTTATCATTCTTAAAAACCTTCCTTTTAAATTAGTAGAAGATGATGAATTTGAAGATATGTTTAGAGATGGTTTTTATCCTGCATTTAAAAAATTTTCTCGTCAAACCTGTCAACGTGATATTTTAAAATATTATCAACAGGAACAAGAAAAAATAATTTCTTATTTTAAAAATTTAAACTGTAAATTTTCTTTAACTTCTGATATTTGGACATCTAGAGCACAAACTGGATATTTATGTATCACAGCACACTGGATTGATGAAAATTGGCAAATGTTTAAAAGAGTTGTTTCTTTTATTGCAATAGAAGAGTCACATACTGGTGCTAATGTTGCAAATTTAATAATTGAAGAACTTATGAAATTAGAAATTTCAGAAAGAATATTTTCTCTTTCACTAGATAATGCAAGTAATAACAATGTAGCTGTTGATTTTATCAGATCATCTTTATCATTGCCATGTCATGGTGATCTTTTTCATATTAGGTGTATCTGTCATATTTTAAATTTAATTGTTCAAAGTGCATTTACTGAAATTAAACCCATGATAGAAAAGGTTAGAACAGTTGCTTACATGCATAGTGCTTCTGAACAAAGACTTAAAAGATGGAAATAATTTTATAAAAGAAAAAATATAAAGTCTAGACTAATTCCAAAAGATGTTGACCATAGGTGGAATTCCACATATGCAATGTTAAGTGTAGCAATAGAATATAAAGACATTATAACTGATTTTATAAACTATTATGCTTCTAGTTCTAGTTCTGGTAGCACTTATGGAATAACTGAAGATGAATGGACAATTATATGTAATTTAAATAAAATGTTACAAGTTTTTTATGATGCTACAATGTTATTATCTGGCTGTTATTATCCAACCATTACTTTAGCTGCTTTACAAATTTTAAATATTCCATTTTTTGAGATCAAATTTAATAAGTACTTTAGGCCTATTCCTCATATTTTTGGTTTGGGGGTTCTTATTGATCCATGCTTGAAGGATATTGGCCTTCGAAGTTTGTTACAATCCTTGTATGGGACTTAGATGATGGAACCACCATTACTGCTACTACTCATCATTTAGCTATTAGAAGTTATTTTCAAACCTTATATGATGAGTATGCAGCTAGACATGGTGTAACTACACAACAGTCTACATCTTCGGTTTCTTCGAGCTCATCCCGAGCCTGAGGTAAAAGTATAAGTTTTGATAGGTATGCAATGGTAGCTAAGCTAACTGGTGGATCTGGACTTGGATCGTCATCATCGGAGGTTTCTGAAATAGATGAATATTTTTCTACTTCTTTAGTTAGATGTCAAGGAAATGCTTTAGATATTTTGCAATGATGGAAAGTATATGGATCAGTTTCATATCCTATACTTTCCACCATGGTTCGTGACTTACTAACAGTGCAGGTTTCGACGGTAGCTTCGGAATCCGCCTTCAGCACAACAGGTCGTTTGATCGACGATCATAGGACATACTTGGATCCGTATACTATACAAGCGGTGATGTGCTTACAAGATTGGTGGAGGTACGAGAAGCGAACGCAAGACATCGATCGGATGGCTGGAATTAAAGATAAATTTGAAGAATTTGGACTAGCAGATAGAGATAAAGAATAGATTGTAGTTTTTATATCTTAGCTTAAAATTTGTAAAGAATTATTTTAGAAATAATTGCAAATGATAGTGATATAGGTGAGTAGGTGCCAACCTAGTTGGGATTTACTTATCTATTGTGATGCGATTAATTCCAAAATAAATTTGTGCTTGTAATTTATAAATGATTTATTAATTATTAATAAAGAATTTGTTTTTATCATTTTTTATTTGTAATTTATGTCATTTTAAGTAATTAATAAAATTATTGTTTTTATTATTTTTCGTCTTTTTTTATAATTTAAAATTTAAATAAAATTGAAAAATTTTGGAAAAAAGTTTTAAAAAATAAAAAAAAAATTGAAAAACACCCGGGCCAGCCCGGAACCCGGCCCGGTCGGGCCCGGGCTCGGAACCCGGCCCGGTCGGGCCCGGGCCCGGGTCCGGGCCCCGGTTTTGTCCGGCCCGGGCCCGGATGGACAGGCCTATCGATATCGATATAAACTAATAAAGCAAGATATATCTTAGGAACTTTTTGGACTATTGAGATAAATTAATAGAGCAAAGATATATCTTAAGATATGTGGACTGCTGCTCATGAAGAAAACCATATCTAACCCCAATTTTTAGAGAGAATTTTTCAATGTAAACCCTCGGATCATGCCACAACTTTATCCGAAGGAAACATTCTCGTTGTAAATTATTTATTCCTATACTTTTTTGTTCCTCACATAAAATAAAAATAAAGTTAATCCGCCACCACACCTTCTCCCTCTTTTATAGTATAGGCCCATGTTTTCCATTTTATTGGTCACAAATCATCCAAGGAAACTCGAACACGGCTCTGTGTGGGTCCCGATTAAAACGCGTCATCACTACATAGCTTAACTTTAATAATGCAATTAATATTTCATTGATTAACAGTGTAAAGAGTAAGACCAAACCCGTCTAGTACCTATCCCGGACCTTGCAGTTTAGATACACAACCTCAAATATAATTCTTGATTTGTATGTATATCAGAATTCAGACGTCAAAAGAGGCTCATTTTTTTAAAATTCATTTTAGAAAGGCTAAATAGCACTTATATACCCCATTGTTTCACCTACTTGTCACTTACATACTCAAAGTTGTATCTGGTACCAAAAAAAGTATTCTAAAGTTTTTTAAACTTGCATTTACATGCCTTCGCTTATTTCGGTTGCATTTAAATACTCTAAAGTTTTTACAACTAGCACCTAAATATATAAAGTTTTTAAAACTTGCATAGAAATACCCCCAGTTATGCAAGATTGAGGATACCAATTGCAAATTTTAAAAACTTTAGGGTATTTAAGTGCAAGATTTAAAAATTTTAGTATTTAAGTGGAACTTTTAATAACTTTAGGGTATCTAAGTGTTATGAAAAGTAAGTGAGGGTATATAAGTATAAATTTAAAAACTTTGGGGTCTTTTCTTATTACTAAAGTAGGATTTACTATTTATTTATGGGTTTTTCTATAGAGTGCCCATGAGCATTCTATAAGAGAGGAGAGAGAGAGATAGAAGTGAATTGCCCATCGGCCCTCCTGATTTACACTAAATTCTATGTGTAATTTATTTCTCTCTATCTCTCTCCTCTCTTATAGAGTGCCCATGGACACTCTATAGAAAAACCATTTATTTATTTATTTATTTTGTAAGACAAGTCTTCAATCGCCGGGGCCCACCAACTTGCGCGCGTTTTATAACGAAGGACCAGCGCTGCTCCTCGCAGAAGCATGTTCCTACGGGGGGGTTAGTCACCTAGAACTTAAAATTAGAACTGGGATAATCTGTGGGATAAAATTGTAAGGTGTTAGTCACATAGAACTAAACCTAGAACAAAATTTTAAGGTGTTAGTCACATAGAACTAAAACTAGAATAAAATTTTACAGTGTTAGTCAAGCAGGACTTTAACAAAACTAGAATTGGGATAATTGTACAAAATTATCCCACTTTTTTTATTTTTCTATACAAAAATGAGAGTTATAGTCTCTCAAATTATTCCAAGTTTTAGCTTGGAACTATGTGGTAAAAAACTAGAACTCGTATTTATTTTGTTATTTTTTATTTTTTTCTTTACTTATTTCCTATTATGGTTATCACCATCATTAGACCATCATCATAATAATAATTGTCAGTATCTTATAGTCTAACCAAAAATTATTTAATAGTAACGAACATTCTTGTAAGCAATTATCAATTAATAATAGTAAGTTTATAATACATAAATAGTATTTATATCTTCAAAATGCATAAATATATACTTCATGATTATAAAAATTTATCCCACGTTATTTTATCAAAATATCCTGCTTCACAAAATTGTTCCTAGTTATCCCACTAAAATATCCCACTAGCGAAATATTATTCCACTTTAACAATTATCCCATTTTGCATGAAAATGTCCCAATTGACTAACACCCACGCAACCCAAAATTATCCCTTACCTCTCTACCCAATAACAGCAAAACACGTGGAGGGCACGTGACTCATCTTTCCCTCATTATTATAAGATGCGGCGAATTGGGGATTAGACCTTCTGAGAAGTTCTCCCCTGTTTCTTTTCCGATCAAATCTCTGCTCTCTCTCAAAAAAAGGTTAGCAACAATTCAATTAGAAATGCTAATTTATTTTTAAATTCGATTTTTTTAAAGGATTAGAGCTCGGATTCTATCGGGATCTTTGCTCGTTAGGGTGAATTTTGTTGTGTATTGGAGAGATTCGGGCGTTTCCGGTTGATTCTGACTTCGATTATTTCATTTTTTTGGGCTTCCCCAAAATTCTGTCTTTTTAGTAGATTAGCGACATCAGGTCCTATGATTCATGTTTAGGGACTCGATTAGTGTGGGATCTTGGCTTATTAGGCTAAAAATTTTGTTATATTTCTGAGGATCATGGGTTCCTGGTTGAATTGACTTCGATTATTTCATTTCTGTGTCCAATTTGTGTTGAAATTTGATTTTAGATTTCCTAACTTTGACTTTTTTCTATTAATAAATAATTAATTAACGATTTTCTATACTTGCATGGTTTACAGAGTAAGATTGGAATGAAAATGGGGGCTTTGCGGTTTAAAACCTTTTGTTTTATAGGTCTCAAATTGCAAATTTTGAGAGATTGGATAGCCGTTGTCGTTATTTACTTTGAGCTTAAGTTACTCGCTACTTTATAAGTATGGATCATCTGAAGACTTATGGATCTTGCACTGACTGTTCATTTACTGCGTATTTGTAATTGGCAAGGAATCTCAACTGCATTTAATATGGTAACATAGAATTTTAAAACTTTGGGAGCTAGGATATGCCTATTTGGTTTTTGGTAACATACTAAGCTAGATTCAGACCAGTTGTTTTACATAAGCCTTTTAAAACGTCAAGTACTAGTTTTATATTTAGTGAGTAGACGACTTAAGGCACTGTTTGGCAACCAAAAAAAAGTGTCTTATCTAAGAGCTTGTGTCTTATTGACTTGGTCAATAAGCTAGTAGAGCTGTTTGGTGACCAAAAGTAGGAGGAGGTTATTTTGGAGATTGTGTCTTTTGCAAGTAGCTTTTGGAAAGCTATCTCAAGTGGCGTTTGTCTTTGGGAAGGAGCTGTCAATTTTTTTCTTCCGTTTTTACCCCTAATAATTCTAATTTTATATCAATAATATTGCATGATCTTTTTAGTCATTTAACAAATTTAAGCTAGTTGTACAACTTCTTTTGCCAAACAGCTCTAGTCAATCAGCTAGCTACACAGCTATCAGCTTTCAGCTACAATTTTACAGCTTTCAGCTAGCTTGACAGCTTTCAGCTATAATCTCGCAGCTTTCAGCTAGTTTTGCCAAACAGAGCCTAAGATTGATTGTTGTTTGGCAGCCATAAGGAGTAATTAAACATTAATGGAAACATTCGGGGTTAGACCATCTTCCCTCTGGATTAGTTAATAGCAAATGACAAAAGAATAAAGTGCTCTGACGGCTTTACCTGGTCTATGGTATACGTTTTAGGGGCTGTTTGGTTGTATGTTTTTACCATGTAAAAGGATGAAAAGTGTAAAAAAGTGGGTCCCAATGTCAGCTTTCATCACTTTCTTGTTTGTTTGTAGTTGTGAAAATAATATAAAGTGATTTCATATGCTGGAGTGGCTTGTAAAGTGATTTCATAAAAAAAAGACATGATTTTAGGAGAAAACTGCCATTGAAGTCAGGAAAAAATAATAAAAAATAATTCCAACCTATATGATCATTTGAGTAGGGACCATTTTTTACACTTTCCAAACAAACAATTAAAGTTACATTTGCAAACCAAACAAGTAATTTATGATTCCAATGGAATAAAAAACAAACAAAGAAAATTATAAAAGTGAAATTGATGACGTGGACAACAACTTTCCTAGTTGTGTCATAAATACACAACTTTACCAACAACAACCAAACAGCCCCTTAGCTAATTAGCTGGAATACACCAGTACACCACTGGAACCAGTTAAATCAACTTCATTCCATTACAAACTAGGCCTAAGGTGTTTAGAATGCGCCCTCTATTTCCATGCTTTTGACACAAAAAGTTCCCATGTAATGCTAATCTAATCTGGGACACAGAAACAGATCAACCTGCTTGTATGTGTACTGTACCCTGCAATAATATTCATCTGAAGTATGGAATTAGACCATGCTAGTATATTATCCATGTGAATGGAGTTGTAGGAGGTTATTACTTGTTAGCATACTGATCTTTTATTTTTCTAAATGATTAGTAATAGAGCCCTCATCTGTTCATAAACTAACTAATGATATGTCGACGTTTCCCCACAGTTTTAGACAGCTTGACCTTCATGAGTTCAAGACGCTCGTTGGCATATAGTGTTTCCTGTGCGTCGGGAAACAAGAGCGACTTCTCTGTTTTAGTTCTCCCAGAATTTTTGGGTGGCCCTGTTGTCTGTGTAAACTTCCAGTTGTTCAAGGCCATTGTCAGGGTTCCTTCTTCATCCATTCTCTTGGAGATTTGTGGAGGGAGCCAGCCTTAGCTGGAACTGTGTTTCTTTTTTGAAAAAAATATATCTTTTGCTGTTGCTGAGAATTCTGGGCCATGGTTTCTTCTCAGATACCGGGTCTGACCAAGACCAATGTCCAAAAAACTTTCAAGAAGCAATTGCTTCTGCCCATGGGTCCGCCTGATGTTGTTCCCTCTGAGCATGTGGAATTCGATTTTTCTGATGTTTTTGGTCCATCCCCAACTCCAACCTCTACGGGAGTAAATGTGTTTGCTTCTGATGGCTCCACACCTGCTGCATCAGATGACATAGTTTACACTGAACCAGCGGTAATTTTGGCTCGTTCTCATTCTCTGGTGGGGCCAACAGCTCTTGTTTGCCAATCCCCGCGGCTCCGCAAACACATATTACATGAGGCTGATTTGGAACTTGTAGAGTGTCCATCAGGAGTGGAAGGGGAACAAGATAAGCCGTTCTCCTGCGTTCCTGAAGAACATGAAGTGCCATCTTCTGAGAATGTTGAAAGAGTGGGACTTGAAGATTTTGATTTCTTGAAGGTTGTTGGGCAAGGTGCATTTGGAAAAGTTTTTCAGGTGATGAAAAAAGGAACATCAGAAATATATGCTATGAAGGTTGTAAGAAAGGACACAATCCTAGAAAAGAATCATTCTGAATACATGAAAGCTGAGAGGGATATATTGACTAAGATCGATCATCCATTCATTGTTCAGCTCAGATACTCTTTCCAGGTACAATACTCTTCTATTGACTTCACATCCACAGCAATTCTAGTTTGTAAATACCTCTAATCTCACATCCTGACCTTTCTGATACAAAATAATTAGGTTCTCAATATTAAATGTGTTATATTATGTTTGTTGTATTATGCTTATGAATTCAGGTATAGATGGCAGCCCTTATTTATCAATAAACAAACAGACAAACAGAAACATCTGGGTGTACTAGATATTTTAGCTGATGTTATGATAATTTCTGCGATATTAATCCACAAGAGTGTTTATCATTGGGGTAGTACACTTTAGTGGTGATTTATGGATTTTGTTCTCTTTCTGCAGACAAAATATCGATTATACCTTGTGCTAGATTTTGTTAATGGGGGACACCTTTTCTATCAGCTATATCATCAAGGCTTATTCAGGTGTTTATACAATGATCTGTTTTTTGTTAGCCTTTGGAATTGATCGCTGTATCTGTATTTGGATATTAATTCGTGCTAACTATATCAGAGAGGATTTGGCTCGCATTTACACTGCTGAAATAGTGTCTGCTGTATCCCACCTTCATGCAAATGGCATAATGCATAGGGACCTCAAACCTGAGAACATTCTTCTGGGTGCTGATGGCCATGTAAAATCCCATTTCCATTATCCTGTGTCTATTACTTTCTAAGTTTGCGTACCAACTGCTTGAATAATAAATCATGTTTTACTCAGGTCATGTTGACTGACTTTGGTCTAGCAAAGGAATTTGAAGAAAACACTAGATCGAACTCCTTGTGTGGGACAATTGAGTACATGGCACCAGAAATAATTCAGGGAAAGGGCCATGATAAGGTTGCCGATTGGTGGAGTGTTGGAATCTTGCTGTTTGAAATGCTAACTGGCAAGGTTTGTTTTCTTTTAAATTGTTAACACTAGTTTTATAGGCATTCTAATTTGTTTTGCGTTTAAGTTTTGGCAAGCACAGTCTCAGGCTCTATTTGTATACTGGATTATGGTAGAAGCATGATCCTAGGGATTTGTTCTATATATTTTTATCAGTCGCTGGCCTGGGCTTTCTCAGTTATTATGTAACTTTTCTCTATTAGCTTGAGGTTCACAACAAAGTTAAGGGTGACGGAAATTGTGAAAAAGCATGGCAATTTCTCAATCTACTAAGAGAACTGGAGTAAATAGTCAGATAGTCATTATCTAGATTTTTCTCCTTAAAAAATGACGGTAACAATTATTGAATTACCAAGTATTTTTGATGTTTTATGCTTTTGTGCATATTCATGCTAATTATCAGCACTTAATGATCAGAAATGAGTCACCATCATTTCCTTTCTTTGTTTGAACTTAAAAAATTCTCTGCATAATATGTCGTCTTGCACGCATGCAGCCTCCTTTCATTGGTGGTAATCGGGATAAAATTCAGCAGAAGATTGTGAAGGATAAGTTGAAGTTGCCAGCTTACTTGACTAGTGAGGCTCATTCGCTGTTGAAAGGGGTCAGTCTACTTCTATTACTTTATAGGGTCAATTGCAGTTGTCTGTGTTATGGCGTCGTCACTTATAGCGTCTAACCAATTTTATTGGCACATACATCCTCCTCGATGAGATTATTATTTTTTTGTTATCAATTTGAAGGGTAATTTAGTCTTTTTCTAAGCTAAAGTGAGATCAATAGTCAATTTATCACATATGATTTCCATGTGACACCTCTACCAAACTAGAGAGGTGATACCTTCTTGAGTTGAGGGATGTAGGTGCTAATAAAACAGTTAAGGTCGGCATACAAGAAATCATCTGCAGTTAAACCTACTTTCTGAGGAGCAGGGCTTAGTCCTGATTCATTTCTCTGCTTGCAGTTATTACAGAAAGAAGCAAGCAAGCGTCTTGGCGGAGGACCTGCTGGCAGCAACGAGATAAAGAATCACAAGTGGTTCAAGTTGATAAACTGGAGGAAGCTCGAAGCTCGCGAAATACAACCGAGCTTCAAGCCAAATGTAGCAGGCAAAATATGCGTCGCCAACTTTGAAGAGCGCTGGACAAGCATGCCCTTAACAGTTTCTCCTGTAGCCAGCCCAGTTGCTGGAAGCGGCAACTTCAGTGGGTTCACTTATGTGAAGCCGTCGGTGTTTCTTCAGAAGCCGAGTCCTCTTGGTTGAGTCCTTGTTTGATTTACTAGCTGTATCGCTTTTGAGAAGTTTGGTTTGTTTGATATTTTATAGTAGTTCGCTCTTAGGTTTGTTTGGCGCCTTCATGGTGGTATATTTGCCATCTTTTAAGGTTGTTCAAACTGGAATCTGTCATGTGCAAGTGTTAATTTAAGCGAGAAGGTAGGTATGTAATTATGACTGCAAGTATTATTCTGCCTGCTAAAGGAAAATATAATGCTACGAGTATTATATGGGTTCTTTGTAATGATTAACATTTTATAATTGCATTCTAATTAAAGATTTGAAGTATTGAGGTGAACTACTCATAAAAGGCTTTCCATCTTAAAAGGAACGGCCCGGGTTTGAATGAAGGTCGTTAAAAAACCTTTTGCTATTGCGGTGCAGAAAAAGTATAGGAATAATAATATAGTTATCACTACTCTATTTTTTAATAATGTAACATTTCATTATAAAAGTTGTATTTCAAAAAGAGTAGTAGTAGAATATTCAGTGCCAAATGCTATAAATGCCGGGTGATACTAACATCTTATAAATAATTAACGACATCTAAAAACATTTAGGGTAGAACATTTGTTACTGTAGAATTGTAGAGGGCTCACTCAACAAAGGGATAGTAGGAACAATAATCAGGTAAAATATTTTAAATTTCATACTGCAACCATTAAATTCATCAAAGTAGCAATTCCGAGCCTAAATACAAATTTGCTAGCCAATTCTCAAAATTATAAATAAGCCAGAAACACATTTCTTTCTTCTCAATATAAAATGAATAATGGCGATGAAAAAGACATCATGTTAGTCAACCCTTGCGACGATCAACTATGGCCTTGAAACCAGTCTTAATTGGAGCAACTGATCGCGAAGAACCACACTGCAAGAAAAAAAATCATAAAGTAAGAAGAATAGTAACAACAAACAGACTCCCCTGTAAATAGAGCAAGCTTAACATCATTTGATGGCAATTTGATGTATGATCCAAGATTAGAAGTTTAATTGACAAGAATATAGGAACTCTAAGAAGATATAACTAGCTAAATCCACATAAGCATAAAATTTGATCGTTTTAGGCAATTCAGAAGTAAGTTTCGGAGAAAATAGGTTATAAGCAATAAGGAAATACCTGTTCACACCGAAGGAAGAACAACCGGTTCTCCTTGGAAAGTATAGTATCAGGGCTTTTGCAGCCATGACATGTTACATATTCAGCTGGAAACAAAAGTGTAAATATTAAGACATTATCAAATGATGCGGTAAGCAAAGTACATTAAACAAATAACCTAAGCAACAGCCTTGGGTTACTCAAGTTATCGCCCATTTGTGAACATTAACCCCCAGTCAGTCAAATGATGACCCATTTGTGAAACATGTCTGAAGCAAAAAAGACAAATATACTGGATTCTTACTCGTGCTGATGTATGTATCAAAAACCTCAACAAATTTGAGAATAACATTTTCAGATTGTTCCTTCTGTTTACTCTGTAGAAACACTTACTTCCTTTCGAAAGGAAAGAAACAATTCAAAATGTCTGCAACTAAAAATAGTAAATCGAGAATATTTAGTCTTAAAATCAAATTTTGACCGTGCGTCGGATAGCTGCCTGCAAGGAAACCTTCCTGAAAAACCACAGGGGGAACAGCTTGTAAAGCTTGACCTAAATTACATGAAGGATGCTAATTGTTCTCTTTTTAAGTAAAATGAAAAAGATCTAGTATCTTAATGTGTTGACCAGTGCTAGCAATGCGCTATGCACAATGAAGGACACGAAGCCCCTTTACGTGCACATGCGCAACGCAATACGATACAGCACCCAAGTGAAAAGAGGCGCACACCACACATAATTTTTCAAGATAGATACTCAAGCATGAAAGATATTTTTTATGAATAAGCATGAAAGATATTGTTTATGAATTTTCCCTTAAAAAGTATGTCAAGGTATCATCTATTATCAAATAACAAAATAAGGTCTTAATTCATAATGCTAACACACCCAACATAATACTAATATTCATAATTTTCAAAACAACAACGAGTGAGGGTCCTCAATTGGTCTAGTAAAATGATCTAATGAGTTCATTTTTCTTTTTGGGACATCGGTTATCTGGTATAAAGACCCAAGTGAAATGTTAAGGAACAAAAATGTAAGAAACTATGCCTTGCATGCATCCTGTGCGAAACGCACACATGCAGGGTACTTGCGATTTGCAAAAAAAAGCTGTCGCATCAGATGCTGGGAGCTTTGCCGCCGCCTCATATTGTAGGGTGCATGAGGTGCAATGAGGCGCGCGCCTTTGATAACACTGGTTTCAAGTGATGAAAAGGTCTAGTGTCTTACATGAAAACTCACATGAAAACTCGGTGACAACAATGGAAACTATAAGGTATTGAATAGACTGCACACTTTTTTAGATCGTAAAATCCAGTGGGAATAGCTAGGGTGGAAATGCAGTATCTTCCCTTTCAATAACTTAACTTCTGGGGAATTGTCACATAGATTCAATAAGATTCAATAGCATTTGGATCTGCTTCATAAAACCGACAAAGAAACAACTAGATATTTACCGCGAAAAAATCAGTATCATTGTGATAAAGGTTTTTTTTGGCATATATACCCGACAAACTCTATAATATTTGCATAGTAAGCCCCTCTCCCATCTTACTATTTGCTAACCTAAATTCCTTAAGGTTGACCCACCCCACCCCCACCCCCACCCAAAAAAAAAAAGAGAAAAAAGAACCCATCTTACTATTTGCATATATACCTTGAAAACTCTAGCATATTTGCGTATTAACGCCCTCCTTCATCTTACTATTTGCTAATTTATCCCTAAATTCCTCAAAGACTCTCCTCCTTCCTCTTCCCTCCCATCTTACTATAACCTCTCCTAGCAGATTAACCCCCTCCCCCATCTTAAAGAGGGAAGAAGGTAAGTGTTCACAGGATATAAAGTAGATCAAATGATGGCAGGAGAAATAAATAACTTATAAAGGGGACCAGTCGTATACAGAATGTTTATAGTACGGAGATATATTTGAACCAGATGATGTTATCAAGGGGGGGAAAGAATGATAAGATGGGAAGTTGAGCTAGGCTACTATTAATAGTAGCCAACATATGAATACTATTAATAGTATACAACATATTTTGCATGAGATAAGATGGACAACATTCTAACATAAGATTAAAAAAAATCAGATGAGATGCATCATAATATCGAGTGCTGATGTTAGAAACATCTTCATCATCCCTAAAGCCGTAAATATCAAAAGAGGTTTCCTACACAGAATGCCATCAAAATTCGGCAAAAAGCAGATAACTATGAAACAAAAACATAACACTCATACATTACAACTGATACAAATGTGCTCCGTATTAATTAAGAAGAAATATCGGGAAAAGAAGGAATATTTAACACTCAACTGTATACACACCATCTATGCCACTTATGAAAAACTAAGTGAGGGTAGTCATTTAAGGATGTTGATTCCTTCAAATTACCAAAATACCAAATTACCCTCCCTCTCTTATCGACAGAAACAAGTGTGAAGATGAAACCTCAAATAAGCTTTTATTTTATTATGTTCAAACATTAATTCATTTCTGTAATTAGGTAAGTTCAACATAGCTTATAACTGATAATTAGCATGTTAAAAAAACTATTGAATTAGAGTAAAAACAACGATATTATAAAATCGTTAGAAAATAACATTTGAAAAACAACATTGAAATTGGTCAAAAAAGTGTATGGTATGAGCTACATATCACCGAAGGTAGATGAAAAGTGTATGGTATGAGCTACGTACCATCAAAGCTAGATAGTGTGCATGTTGAAAAGTAGATAGATTTTATGAATTCAAAATATTAAATAAAAGTGTTCCAAAAATTAAAAGCTCAAAATTCATATTCAGATTTAATGATAGTAATTTCAACACTATTAATGAATTCTTCGTAAATTTCTTCCCTGATATATCATTAGCACAAAATATATGTAAGCTCCGTCGTACATGGACATATATCTATTTTTGTCTATTTCATTGAGGGTTCGTTAAATACGATTTACGATGATGCATAAGAGCTCAAGAATATTTGTAAGGAACTTTTTAAGCTGATTAGCTCTTAAAAAAAATATTTGTTTTGACCTTTCTAATAGAAACACCATATATACAATTTAATTTAATTTCCTAGATCATTTGCATTATTATGCACATGCATGTTGGCTAGCACTAAATAAAAAAAATTATTCAGAAAAGAAAAATGTATCAAGTATACATGCGCATGTGAGAGAGGCAGGAGAGAGGGAGCTTACTGATGTATTTTCGAAGGATACTCTCAAAATTTTTAGGAACAAATCTTCCCCTTACAGACAACCTCTGTTGTCCATCGAGATATCCACTTGTACCAAGCTCAGCTAGCAAGTAATCCTGGACATGCTCTGGCTGCCTATGCATTCTGTAGATCAATAGGAAAAAAAATCCCCAAGAATGATTACCAAAGTAGAAGACCAATACTGGAAAACTGTCATCCACATTTGAAGGGGAAAAAAGGAAAGGCTCATTCAATTTTAAGCTTCAGCTTTTAGTAATTTCTGATAATTCAACATGGACCCAGTACATGCACATCAACTTGATGAGAATACCTTCTAGGATGGAGGCATAAAGAAAAGTTTCTAATATGATCTTTGAAGTGGGAAGTGCCAACAGTTGTCAAACAACGGAAGTTAAGAGTTTTTAAATATTCAGAATGTTTATTATTTTCCCAACTCTTTAGCAACATGGAAATATTGCTTTGGGTTGCAGAATACGAGGGTTCTCATTTGCTAGTAACACAGGTTGCGTGAGCATACCATCAAGATCCAATGAAAAGTCTGCTTAAAAAATCATAAACTTTCCCATATATTGCTTTTTAAAGGAATGGTAACCACATTCAATTCAGCTCATTGCTTAATAACTCATTTTCATGAACAACAAAATCATGGATAGTACACGGATAGGAATTAAATCTGAAAGGAATTCCCATCTCTTTCCATTTTAGTTGTGAAAGGTAACTTAAATGCCTCACGTCTTCACACATTGGCATTGGTATCAGTCATCTTCACAAGAAAAACAGTAAGAATTAACATTGCGCATTTCAGTAGACTTTGTTGAATTGGGCTAGATTACCGACATAATTTGCTAACTCAGATGAAACTAAAGTCCTTGTCAACACATTGTTCTTTTAAAGCCAGCATCTTTTATTACAAAATGTAATTCCCTAAATGGAATGATAAAGCAGAATAATATGATGTCGAGACATAACTAAGAAACACTAAGATAATACATGGAATATGATGTGATAGGCAAAGCAATCTCCATTTAAAAGAGTAAAATCACCACAGATTACTAAGACAAAGCAAGCCTCATGAAAATGATGAAGCAATAGCATTGGAAGCTACAGAATCATAAGTAAAGAGAAAGAAAACATACGTCTTGCATAGAACCATAAAATTTGCAAACACCGTCTTTTTACTTCCTTCTCTAAGAACTTGTGGGGGCCGCAATGTTGTCCTTCGCCTCTCTCCAGCAAGATCCGGATTATTTTCACGTAATATATTGAATACTCCACCCAGAAGCTGGTTGATTAGAAAATAAAATAAAATAAAATCAGTTTTCTAATCACAGGATTTGCAGAATGAAGAAAGAAAATATAAAAAACAAGAAGGATTAGATAGCAGCCAATTTGTACCACAAAGCACTGACAAAAAGAATTTGCCAATTAGCAGTGATATAGACATATAACCCAAGCAAACTGCTGCTTAAGTTAAATGCCTCAAATATCACCAGTAGAAACTCAACTAGTCAGAATTATTACAAAATATAAACTGTCATGTAAGAATAGAAGAACAAAATAAACTTTTGATATCATGAAGAGCATTCAAGTGATCTTGCCAGTGAAGCCACCATGAAACAGCAATTAAAGAGAATTTGCAAGTGGTCTTGCTAGTGAATCTACCATAAATAGATTGCTATTCTCAAAGTAACAACAGCAAATAGGCACCATTCAAGAAAATGGCAGATATCAAGTATAAGCGATATAGAATTGTCGGAGGGCAGTATTGCAAATTGAGGAGGTAAGGTCAATTACTGAACTCATGTTTCAATCTGCTTTCACCATTCACCAAGGGAAACAAAATAGAGATGTGTGTTGTTTATCAATTAAGAACAAACACTATTGACATAGGAAAGATACAAAATAACCATAGCCAGAGGGTGCAATTTAATTTCATTGATAATGGTTGTTTTCATCAAACCTGATTCACAAATAGACAAGCTACAGATCCTCTAATGGTACAACAGTCAAGTTGACTTAACCTCCAAGAAGAGATATTCCTTGCACCGATTTCATAGCACTATGGTCAAAATTCAAGCATCCATCTCTACTATATTTCAAAGTTACGTACGTTGTGTAGCAAATTCCAAGCAAACTTCATATTATAAAATGCACTTGCAAATAAAGTTAAACATAAATGTTTTTAAGTTAACCCAGTCACCACCAAGTTCATAGAAGTGACAAGAGGCATCACATTTTGATCTTAACTATGTGAACTATTTCTTCACTTTGTTCAAGTACTTAACTAAATCAAAACTACTTCAGAAGTCTTGATGGTGGTAGAACTGAACATGACTTACTTCTCTCAAGCAATGCACATACATAAAATTGTCGGAGGAAAGTATTGCAAATTGAGGAGGTAAGGCCAATTACTGTATTCATGTTTCAATCTGCTTTCACCATTCACCAAGGAAACAAAATAGAGATGTGTGTTGTTTATCAATTAAGAACAAACACTATTGACGTAGGAAAGATACAAAATAACCATAGCCAGAGGGTGCAAATTAATTTCATTGATAAGGGTTTTTTTCATCAAACCTGATTCACAAATAGACAAGCTACAGATCCTCTAATGGCACAACACTCAAGTTGACTTAACCTCCAAGAAGAGATATTCCTTGCACCGATTTCATAGCACTATGGTCAGAAATCAAGAAGCCATCTCTCGTATATTTCAAAGTCAGGTACGTTGTGTAGCAAATTCCAAGCAAACTTCATATTATAAGATGCACTTGCAAATAAAGTAACATAAATGTTTTTAAGTTAACCCAGTCACCACCAAGTTCATAGAAGTGACAAGAGGCATCGCATTTTGATCTTAACTATGTGAACTATTTCTTCACTTTGTTCAAGTACTTAACTAAATCAAAACTACTTCAGAAGTCATGATGGTGGTAGAACGGAACATGACTTACTTCTCTCAAGCAATGCACATACAATTGATAGCGTATGTGATAGATATCGTAGAGTAGAATCAGGAACTAACATATGAATCAGAGGAATGTTGGTAGACGTCCTCAGTACTATGAATATTGGTACTCAGTAGCACCCACTCTAGAGATTATGCATTAAGGGCTAGCCAACAGATATGTGTACATTAGGGACATCATGTGCAAACAAAGTCGACTAACAAAAGAAGCAAAGAATGTTGACCAACTGTAGAACTGCAAAGAATGTCGACTAACACTAGAACTGCTTAATCTCAGCAGACGTCACACATATCCAAAGTTAGAACAAGTTCAGTCAAATATGCATTCCTTGAAACTAACGCAAGCAAAACAGAATACTAGGTGCTAAATCTATTTGTTTTACCCAAAGATGAATTCAGTTACCTATAACAAATCCTATTATCTTTTCTTCATCTAGACTCGTTCCAGGCCTAAGAGAGCTGTTAGGGGTCATATCGTGATTGCTTACAATGATTATCCAATTCATCGCAAGCCGTCCTCTCCTTGGGAAGAGTCTCGTACCAGCACAAGGGTTCATGTGCCACATCCACATAGACATAAGATGCTGAATTTTGCCAAATAATATTCAAGAGGACTTCACAGTGTGTAACGTTCCAGCTCACGTCAGTTTGATAAGAAAAGACTTAACACACCTAAAAAGTTATAATTTTTTGGCATGTTGGGACTAAACCTCAAATACAAACTCTATTAAAATAGTATGAAACTTGATACGAGTAAACATACACAAAATCAACTAAATATAAATTATTACAACTAAACTACATTCTAGAACTAACAGTAAGATGCTGCAAAATGAACAAGTATTCGTTTTGTTTAACAAAGAGGACTAGAGATACACTACAGACTGCCAAATCTACATACCTGATGCTGTACAATTTCATAACAGATGCATGAACAAGAAGGGGATCCATGAACAAGAAAGAAAAGTACCTCTTCATAACGATAAGGGCGGTCAGTTCCTTCCCACGGATACCTGTTACCTCCCAAAACAACGTCCTCTCCTTGGTCATCCTCTCCAAACTGTTCACCTAAATAACATATTAAACGAAAAGACAGTTGAGCACTGGCTGTACTGCTGCAAACCAAATATTTCTGCCACTAGTCTGAACAACAAACAGATCATTTTCTTTCAAGAAGCTTAGGATTACATTTTTCACTCTGAGGAACTATTAGGAAACACTGAACGCTTACCATTTTCATCGCCACCAGCATCGCCATTCTCACAGAGTAAATCAGTTTCCACCTAAAAAGATGCCATACAATAACTATTAGCCTCGACAAAGATAACATGAAGACCATACATAACATCTGAATGAACCCGATAAGCTAGGATAGTATGCCGGCACACTAACTTGTTTCTTCTTCTTCTTCTTCTTGCCAACAAAATCAGGTTGCCCGACATCAGCAACTGCACAGTAACAAAATTATGAATTGTTAACTCCTAATACAACAATGCATCACATGTAGCTGAGTAATTTTTTCATCACGGCTTTTGCCGAAAGCAAACCTGACAGATCTTCTATCTTATCTGCCAGCTTCTCCACCTCTTTAGCTGGCTCTTGAACTACGGGCTTCTTCTTTTTCTTCTTCTTTGTAGGATCGAATGGCGCAAGCTACAATATATAATCGCTCAATTATAATTTATAAAAAAAAATTACAAAAGCAAACAAGGATATGCAACATGTATATATAAAGCTCCACTGAAATCATGCAAAGGAGAAATCAAAGGGTACTAACTTTGTTTCTATAAGTTTCGGTTTAACAAATCATATAAAAAAAAGGCCTTTTACCTCCACGATCCCGTTTTCTTTACCCTCCGGCATATTTGCTGCTCTGGCTTCCAACTCTAATAACAAACTGAAAAGGGAAATCAAATAACAATTAAAAGACAGCACTAAACCAACCAAGTCGGGGTTACATGAAAAACCCTACATCAGAACTAAAACTCGTAACTAATCGTACGGATGACAGAACCCTAAAACAACAAGGAACAAATTCGATGGCGAAAGTTGAAAACTTGGTGGTCAGCAACCCTAAATCTCTAAAAAAAATTCGAAAGCAAAGCAAAAGAGAGAAGGATTCATCCTTTACTCGAAATCAAAAGCGAAGAAATACCTAAAATTCTTCCCCCAGGATTTCTGCGAAGAAATCTTTTTGGAGGGATTTGGTTCGCGTCAAGACAGAACAAATAGACCAGTATTTATAGCGCTGCTTCAGGCGGTTTTATAGATTCATAATTGTTTACTAGTCCGATTTGGACAAGGTTTGGGCCCTTGGGCCGAATAATTTTAGGCCTGATGAGAGATCCCTTATTTATTTACTTTCTTTTTCCGGAAAGTAGTGTTGATTGTGAACACAACTTGTATGGTATCGTATTTGGGAACTCGTTATAATTGTAGATGTGCAAGACGTTGAGGGGCTGTTTGGTTGTATGTTTTTACCATGTAAAAGGATGTAAAGTGTAAAAAAGTGGGTCCCAATGTCAGCTTTCATCACTTTCAATTGTTTGTTTGTAGTTGTGAAAATAGTGTAAAGTGATTTCATATGCTGATGTGGCTTGTAAAGTGATTTCATAAAAAAAAACATGATTTTAGGAGAAAGCTAACATTTGAAGTCAGGAAAAAATAATAAAAAATAATTCAAACCAATATGATCATTTGTGTAGGGACCACTTTTTACACTTTCCAAACAAACAATTAAAGTTACATTTACAAACCAATCCCCCCCAACCCCAGCTTCAAATCCGCCTCATTCTGGCCACCTTCCTCCCCTCCCCCAACCCCCCCGTCAAATCCGCCATGGCTGGAATCGCCGCCGCCCCCTGAATCGCCCCCAAAGTGACGATTTGGAGGCCGCGATCAAGCTGATCCGTTCCCCTTAGGCCATTGAAGCCTGCCATCAAGCAGATCCCTTCCTCCTGAGCCATTGAAGCCCTTCAAAACAGGTACCTTTCATGTATATTTGGGATGAATTCGGGTTAGGGTTAGATGTTTTTTATGAGAGAAAATTTGGGTAGTTGATTTAACGCTGAGTATCTTCATCACCTAAGAGGAGTAACATGTGGGGTTTCTTTGGCAGATCAAACACCGCCTCGGGACGTTGCTCGTCTCTGCCCGCGCTCACTTCTTGCAATCCACAGTAAGTGCCCCCTTAACACCGCCTCGGGACGTTGCTCGTCTCTGCCCGCGCTCACTTCTTGCAATCCACAGTAAGTGCCCCCTTAACTATGTTTTGATGTGATTTGAGTTCTTCATTTGGAAATTCATGTGCTAGAGGCTGTTCATGGGTAAATTCGCTTTATTTGGAAGAGAATCAAGGCCTAATTTTGGACGTCTTTTTGGCTGTATATAGGAAAAACCCTCTAAAGTATGAACCATAGTTTTTACTAGGAAAAAATAATCAATCCCCTGTATAATTGTAGCTCTTCAAGTATTTACAAGGTCCATAGAACCTACATCGATCGATCGATGTTTGGACGTTGAGTTGAGGAAAAAATAATCAAAATTAGAAATGTTATTGGTCTAAAACTAGATTGATGTATTGATGATGTTTTTGGTTTGGACGTTGATTTGTCCTTTGAAAATAACCAAGAAGAAATGTTATAGAAAGAGTAGAGAAGATTGTGAGAGACAAGATCCTCCTGAACCTCGATCGTCTGTGATGTATGGATTTTAATTTATATACCTTATCCAGTTCCTTTACTAATCAGTATACTTGGTCTAAAACTATCTTCTACTGCAGAATCATGTTGTCAACATCTTCTCAACAATCATCCTCTTCTAAACGGGCAAGGTTCTTTGATAGGAGGCTATATGCTGCAATGTGTAATCGTCCACCTCCATACGAGATTCCAAATTGCTTTTGTGGGATCCCAGTGCAAATGAAGACTTCTTACACCACGAGGCATCCATGTCGTCGATTTGGAATTTGTGCTACAAACACTTGTAATTGTTGGACTTGGTTAGATCATGGTGAAGTACCAAGTTACGCTCACGACTCAATGAATATAATTATTAGCAAGTTTGAAGAGCTTTCAATTGAAAATGAGAAATTGAGATCAAGAATACATGGGAAAGAAAATGGAGTTTGGAAGAAACATATTCAGGAAAAAGGCTTTCTAATTGGAATTTTTGTTGGTTTCGTGATGTCCATATTTCTTGTAATAATATCCAAGTAAGGGTATGTTTTTGGTTTGGACCTTGTAATATTTTGCTAACTCAACTATGTAATGAAAATCAGTGTTCTATGGAATTGTAATGAAAAAGTAATTGAGATCCCAAACGGGCATGATGCTTTTTAGATGCTTTTAATTAGTTGTTGTAAAATGTATGTTCAATTTGCTACTAAATACTTGAAGAGCTACAATTATACAGGGGATTGATTATTTTTTCCTAGTAAAAACTTGAAGAGCTACAATTATACAGGGGATTTGTTGTAATAAAGCGAATTTACCCATGAACAGCCTCTAGCACATGAATTTCCAAATGAAGAACTCAAATCACATCAAAACTACACGCATGGGAGCAGATACTATCTGTACCATAGGGTAATTAACTTTGAGAATTTCACCACCCCTTTCAATATAAAAGAACTAATCTGATTCGTTCTCATGAATTTATGGAGTTCATAAAGAAAGAGAGAGTCCATAAGTTCATACAGCATGACAATCTTTCACAAAGACCAAATTACTTAAAAGAGAATGCAATAAATGATGGTTCTTTTCTTCCCCAGTAGAGACATGGAAAGATAAATTCATTTGTCCAGCAACTGTTACATTCGCAGTAGAGACATGGAGCAGAGACATGGAAAGATAATTATCCATTACATCAATTCCATTACATATAATTATCCAGTAGAATGAAGCATGGAAAGATAATTTGTCCAGCAACTGTTACATTCGCACTAGAGTTACAAAAGAGGCTTCACAAAAGAGGCATCAGGAGCCAGCTACCTTCAGGAACAAAACAACCTCAGGAACCAACTGCATCCTTTCGCCAAACAGCATCAGGCCCTGAATGAGTTAAAAAAACAAATCTTAATACAACTTGTTACAAGAGCATAATTGATGAATATTTACCCCAATAAGCAAATCATACCCATAGGTTATCACATCATGTTTCTTTGATGCCATCCATACCACGGTGGCAACCCCATCGCATGTGGATCTCCAGGCATTGGAAATTGAGGCTGTAACACATCATATAGATATAAGGGTCTAGCTATAGTGATTAAAAAGGTTTGCATCAATGTAAGCTATGGGCAATATCTTACCAACTGCATAAATTCATTTGTTAATTGTTGTGCCGGCCATGGATGCACAGTATTTGGTTGTGGCATGTAAGCATTTGAAACCATACTATCTTGTGTGTAGGAAAGAACACCCTCTTGAGACTGTGATGGATTGTTGACGGGCACATTAGCAGCTCGATCAATTTTCTTCTTTCTTCGCCTACTTGTTGGCTTAATTCTGTTTTGCCTAGGCCGACCTTTCCGAGTCTGAGAGAGAGGATCCAATATGTTTTCATTTTCCTCCTTTTCATATTCATTTTCTTCTTCCACAAAATCATGATTCATCTCTACTTCTTTTCCTTTCTGACTTGATTCAGCAAGTTGTAGTTCTCTAAATTTGGTGTCTATCCATTTTTTAACAACCTCACATTCATGATTGTTTTGAGCAGCAAGATCAGCAACCTCACTAAATGCAAGACATAGCTCGCGATAGCGTACCTGTTCAGGTGTGACGACCCAAGTATTAAATTTAACTTTCATCTTCGAGTGGGCTCGCCTCACATCCTTTCGCCACCTTCTTAGAATGTACTTTTCCGGAAGAAAGCTGACTTCGTGACGAATAAGAATGGTAAGGGCATGCCTACATTCAACTTCACTGTCCGTTTCACGAAAGGATACTTTGAAGAATTTAGGAATCCTTTTGCCGCCCTCCAACCGCAAAGTCAAGTCCCGAACGACATACTCAAGCACCCCTACTCCCTCATGAAAGTTTGCAATATCACAATATAACTTTCCCGTGAATTCAGCTTGAAACTCTTTAAACTTTGCTAAAGTGTAGACTCCCTGAATTTGACTCTCCATATCATAAGTTGTTGCGGTAGCTTTTACTTTTGAAAATGACTCAGCATCGGCCCGCATCTCCTTTTTAGTCTTGTTTCTTAATGCATTTTCATACTGCTCTACAAACTGTTTCAGACTTGTTTTCGAATTGACATATCCATCAAAAAAAGCATTCATGCTTTCACTTCGCTGAGTAGTTGACATTCCTGCCCAAAAACAATTTTTGACAAAACATGGAACCCATCGGTTTCTCTCCTCGTACAATTCACATAACCAATCACAATCCTCCAATCCATACATGTCAACCATTTCATTCCACTGTATTTCAAACTCTTGTGGACTTTGTGTGTCATACACCACTCCTTTCATGGTAGAACTTATGGCCTCATATTCAGTGTACCTTCCTAACTTTTCTGACAACTTCTTCATTATATGCCACAAACACCATCTGTGTCTAGTGTTTGGAAAAACAATCTCAATTGCATTTTTCATGGCTCTTGCTTGGTCAGTTATTATCCCTTGCGGAGCACATCCATCCATGCATTCAACCCACTTCGTAAATAGCCATATGAAAGTCTCTGTGTCTTCTTTTGAAATCAACCCACATCCAAGTAAAATTGATTGCCCATGATGGTTAACGCCAACAAATGGTGCAAATGGCATATCATACTTATTTGTTAAGTATGTGGTATCAAAAGTGACGACCTCACCAAACTCTTTGTAAGCTTCTCTGCTCCTACCATCTGCCCAAAATACATTTTTCAAATGATCTTCATCATCCAATTCAATATCAAAATAGAAACCTGAATTTTCTGCAACCATCCTTGAAAAATATTTCATAATCGCTGAAGCATCACCTTCGCCGAGACGTAAACGCCTTGATTCATCAACCAAGTTCCTGCAAGCCTTTTCATCACACAACAGATTCTCATATCCACCAGCCTCATGTACCAGTGAGCTAAAATTTTTGTTGATTCTGATTCCGGCTTGATCATTCTGATTAATTTGATGTCTAACATGTGCACTAATTCTTCGGTTGCATCGAAAGAAACGACTTTTAGTAGGGCTAAGGCCATGATTATGCTCCAGAACAACCACAGATATTTCCCATCTTCCGTCCAGATTTAACCTAGCTGTTATCTTTGCATTACACCCAACTCTGTAGCTTGCTTGTGGTTTTAAAGGATTTTGACAAGTACTATTATGTTTGCCAGCTCGACCACATACTAAAGTTATACTTCTAACAATGCCTATTACATTCTTCCTTCTTGTATGTTTCTTAACTGGAAATCCACTGCTCTTTGCATAGTCTCTGTAGAACTCAAACAATTCATCTGGATCATTAAACTCCATCCCAATTTTAGGCTCATTTTGCTCAATCTGCTGATCAGTATTCTGAGGCAACTCATCTCTCTCATCAACCGAGCAATTAATCCCGCCATCATCATCTAAATCATCTGCCATGCCTGTTCAAATTGATCATCAATAAATGATCAATAAACTTTACCAAAAAATAGTTGACAGAAACTGAAAAGTTGCATCTTGAAAACACAGATTTTATTTCTACAATCAGATATCAACAAACAATGGACCATGTAAGAATTGGTTTCAAACAATGGACCAATGAGAATTTGATCTGCCATTGAATTGCACAAAGCAAATCCCACATGCTAAAAACATTGGCAAGCATGAACAGGAGAGTAGTTAAGATGAATTAATAAGAAGCCATTAAACTAATTAAATAATATTGCCCTAATTAAGGGGGCACTTACTGTGGATTGCAAGAAGTGAGCGCGGGCAGAGACGAGCAACGTCCCGAGGCGGTGTTTGATCTGCCAAAGAAACCCCACATGTTACTCCTCTTAGGTGATGAAGATACCCAGCGTTAAATCAACTACCCAAATTTTCTCTCATAAAAAACATCTAACCCTAACCCGAATTCATCCCAAATATACATGAAAGGTACCTGTTTTGAAGGGCTTCAATGGCTCAGGAGGAAGGGATCTGCTTGATGGCAGGCTTCAATGGCCTAAGGGGAACAGATCAGCTTGATCGCGGCCTCCAAATCGTCACTTTGGGGAGAGAGCCTCAAATTCGACGCTGGGGTTGGGGGATTGGGAGGAGGGGAGGAGCGATTTGGTAGTCTGACGATTTGGGGAAGGAAGAGAAAGATTTGGGGACGGAGACAAAAATGAGCGATTTGGGAGGGTTTCTTTGCTGAGCTGGCTCACCCACGTGGGCGCGAGTTGAGAGAGCGAGCTGAAATAGCGAGTCAAATAGCATTATTGAAGTATAAAAGTGAAATTGATGAGGTGGACAACAACTTTCCAAGTTGTGTCATAAATACACAACTTTACCAACAACAACCAAACAGCCCCTGATTCATGGTTCAACAATAACCAAATAGAGTAGATGTGCAAGATTCATGATTCAACAATTAATATTACATCCAAATATTCCAGCTCCAACAATATTACATCTAAAACTTACTCTAACGTAAGCAACTCAAAATCAAATATTACAGGCAACAACATAGACTCGATTTCACCGCCCTCTCGGTTTCCCGATCTCAGAGAACACAGCATTGCTCAGCATCAGCTCACCCGAGCCCTCGCCGTCAACGATCCGGCTGTCGGTACGAATCGAAGCGCTGCTCGTCGTGGTGGTCGTTGTGGTCGAAGTCGTGGATGTGGTCGATCGGCCCATCGATGTAGAATCATCGTCGGCGCCGTCCTTCTCCGCCTTTGTGCTCTCCTGCAACTGCAACGCAAACTCGAGGCTCCACACCACATCCCCCATTGTCGGCCTCTTCGTCCCGTCATCGGCCACGCATTTCTCGGCTGTCTCGACGAACTTCTTGAAGCTCAGCGGCGAGATCTTCCCTTTCAAATAAGGATCCACAATCTCCTCCAGGGTTCCCTCCTCTTTACAGTACAACGCCCAATCCACCAAGCTGACCTGCTCTCTCTGCAGCTTCGGGTTAAGCACTGGCCGAGCGCACAACACCTCGAACAGCACCACGCCAAAGGAGTAGACGTCGGATTTTTCGGTCAGCTGTTGCCGGAGGAAGTACTCTGGGTCGACGTATCCGTAGCTTCCCTTCACCTCCGTGCTTACGTGGGTGTCATTGATCGTGGGGACGGATTTTGATAGCCCAAAATCCGATACTTTGGCGACCCATTTGTCGTCGAGCAGGATGTTGGTGGTTTTGACGTCACGGTGGATTGTGCTCTGCTTGGCTCCGGTGTGGAGGTAGTGCAG